TCCCCCTTCTCCCCCCGCCCCCACCCTAGCCCCTTTCCCCTCCGCTGCCCCCCACCTCCACCCAAGCCCCTCCCTCTCCGCCCTTGCCCAAGCCCCTTCCCTTCCCCCGCCACCGCATAAGCCGGTTCCTTACCTTCTGCCTTCCACATTGCGGGGCCGGAGTCCACACTCAGGCCCCAGAGGCCGAACCCAGAGCCAGCCAGGCCATGCAACGTGCCTCCCACAAGTTTCAACAACCCGGGCCGTGACATCACATCACGCCCAGGTGTCCTCCCCACCCACCAGCAACACTGCGCAAGGCAGCAGCAGCCGGCGAGGAGGAGCCGCATGGCAGGGACTGTCCAGGGTCGAGGGGGGCGCTCTGGGTCGGGGTGGAAGGACTCGCGGGGAGTCTGGCAGGGGGGTCTGGGGCCTACTCCAGGCAGAGCCGGGGAGAGACCCAGCTCCACATATTGGTGGAGCAGGGCCCCAGCTCTGTAACTTGCCGGCACTTCCGGGTGCAGGGGCGCGGGGCCCCCTTAGGCACGGGGCCCGATTCGGCCAAATCGGGTTAAGGCCGGCCCTGCCAATAGGAAAGAGTCACTTTTAAAGTCCCCTGGTTAGGAGCTGATTGTTGTTAGGGGGGAGAGAGGACAAGGAGGCCCCTCCCTTTCTGCCTCTGGTCTCATTCTGGATATGCCCCCAAAGTAGCATTAGGTTTCCCAAGAGAGAGCAAGACCAAGGCTCTGGCCATATCTTACCTTGGCCAAAGCTTGCCCAAGAGCTGTATTCGTACTGTGCTTGTCCCAAAGATGATGCCGCTTGGCATTGCCCTTGGTCATGGCCTCTTCCATATGTCAGCAAAGCCCTTAATGGTCCCACATTAATGACTGTAAATGCTGTAGTCTCACTGTAGTGTCTGACTGTGAGTGTCCTTGTCTGTCTCACTAGGTTGCCCAGCTCCTCAGCAACACTGATCCAGATAATAAGGCTGCCCTCACCGTGTCCTGTCTGGCAGAGGGAGACTGGAGCAACCTGGGACATCCCCAGTTCCAGCACCTTATTAATCTGAAACTGAACCCTGACCCTGTCCTGCCGGAGATGGATGGAGTCTCTGAGTTTGCAGAATATGTCTCTGAGACTGTGGATGTGCCCACTCCATTTGATCTTCTGGAACCTCCCACTTCTGGGGGCTTTCTGAAACTGTCTAAGCCCTGCTGCTACATATTCCCCGGTGGGAGAGGGGACTCCGCTCTCTTTGCTGTCAATGGGTTTAACATCTTGGTGGATGGCGGCTCCGAGAGGAGATCCTGCTTTTGGAAGCTGGTCAGGCACCTGGACAGGATTGACTCCATTCTCCTGACCCACATTGGGGCCGACAACCTGCCTGGCATTAATGGGCTTCTGCAGAGGAAGATTGCTGAGCAGGATGAGGAGCAATCTCAGGGGTCCACCAACTACAGTGACTGGATGAAGAACCTCATCTCTCCAGAGCTGGGGGTGGTTTTCTTTAATGTTCCGGAAAAGCTGAAAATGCCCGAATCATCCATGAAAGCCAAGAGAAGCATCGAGGAGGCTTGCCTGACACTTCAGTATCTGAATAAACTGGGCATTAAGTCAGAGCCCCTCTACCGGGTGCTGAGTAGCAGCCTGGAGCCCATTACGCTGTTTCACAAGATGGGGGTTGGCAAGCTGGACATGTACGTCCTGAATCCCGTCAAGGACAGTAAGGAGATGCAGTTTCTAATGCAGAAATGGGCTGGGAATAGCAAAGCAAAGACTGGCATCGTTCTAGCAAATGGGAAAGAGGGTGAGATCTCTGTCCCCTATCTGACGTCCATCACAGCCCTGGTAGTTTGGCTGCCAGCAAACCCAACAGAAAAAATTGTAAGAGTTTTGTTTCCTGGAAATGCTCCACAAAATAAAATACTGGAAGGCCTTGAGAAGCTCAAGCATCTGGATTTTCTGAGGTACCCAGTAGCTACTCAGAAGGACATGTCCTCTGGCCTGCCTCCACCTTCTCTGAAGCAGACCAAGATTAAACAGAGAACTGACAGCAAGGAGAGTCTGAAATCTTCCCCCAAGCCAGCTGCAACAAAGCAGGCTAGAAAAGAAGAGGCAGCCTCTGAGGATGGGGTGAAGGAGATAAAGCCAGAGGTAGTAAAGGAGGCCAGAACTGAGAAAAAAGTGAAAGAACATACTGAGAAAATTCCTGAGAAACCTGCTAAACCTGAAAAGATAAAGACAGAATCCAGTGATATCCTCAAAGCTGAGAAAAGGAAACTAACCAAAGACAAGGTTGGCAAGAAACACCTCAAAGAGAAAGTGTCTAAAATGGATGAGAAGAAGGACAAAGAAAAGAAAGAGATTAAAAAAGAGAGAAAGGACTTTAAAAAAGATGATGGAAAGAAAGAAGAAAGAAAAGATTCAAAGAAAGAAGCCAAACCAGAGCTGAAAAAAATTTCTAAACCAGACTTAAAACCATTTACACCAGAAGTGAGGAAAACATTATACAAGGCAAAAGTTCCAGGTAGAATTAAACCTGAGAAAATGCGAGTCAAAGCTGAAAAGGAAGCCCCTTTGGAACAGAAGACTTTACCAGTGCAGAAGACACGTGTACAACAAGAGCTAGGAATGGCTGACATGGCTGAGCAGAGGCTAGTGCTGTCTTCACCAGAAGACCTAACCAAGGACTTTGAGGAGCTGAAGCGTGAAGAGAAGGTGGAGCTGCAGGTGGCTCAGGAAATGACTGATAATGAAGTGAGTGATGCAGTCATGCGAGGACCTGGTACTGAAGGAAAGATGGTCCCTGATATAACTGCGCAGGGTCACCTCCATGAAGCTCTAATTTTGGAAGAGAACATCTTGATGAAAGCAACTCCTCTAGATTCCCCATATGAGGGAATCATCACTATTGACAAGGAGGTAGAATTGCCATGTGAGGAAAAGCCAGCCCATCACCTGGAGGTGAGAGCAGGACAGACTGAACCATCTGAGGATGATGGAGCAGCCCTGGAGGAACCTCTTGAGATGGGAGAGCTTTCAGAAAAAGTTAAAAGGAAGGAGGAAGCCACGTTACCACAGGAGGGTCTCAAAGATGAGAGAGGGCAGGTACCATCATACTCAAAAGCAGCAGCAAGAGAGGCTCAGACCCCAGCACTCAAAGAAGAGAAGGAAGAAGAGCAGAAAATAACTTTGGACAACATGAAGAAAGACGTGTGAAAAATACATTGGGGGCATGGATACAGGTGAGGAAAGCGAGAAGGAAAAGAGAGAGGATGTGATAGAAAAGGCAGATCTGGAGGAAACAGAAGAACAATACACAGAGGAAAAGGGCCTGAAGACCAAGGATTTCTATCAGCTACACCAGGATGAGGAGAAGGACACAAAATTCACTTCCAAAGAAAAGGAAAGAGAGTTCAGTGGCAACATGGGCGAGAAAAGCAAATTACCCGAAAAGGAGAGAACTAAGGAAGAGTCCTACCTGAGCAATGTGCCTGTCCCGCCAGGAACTGTAGCGGAACACATTTCATACATCCAAGATGAAACCATCCCTGGCTACTCAGAGACTGAACAGACTATTTCTGATGAGGAAATACATGATGAACAGGAAGAGAGGATCCCACACTTGAAGTATGATGTGGGTGCATATGACATTTCTGTGCCTGATCACCCAGGCTCTTTTGAAGCAGTACATGGTATCCAAGCCACCTCCACTACCGACATTGCTGCCAAGGGGTACATCAGCCAAGAATCCGAAATACTTGTGTATCCTACGAGCATCGTGGCAGCCCCACTGGCCGAAGAGGAGCACGTGTCCTCTGCCACGTCAGTTACAGAATGCGACAAGCTTTCCTCCTTTGCTACTTCTGTAGCAGAAGATCAGTCTGTTGCATCCATAACAGCTCCACAAACAGAAGAGACGGGGAAAAGCTCGTTACTTCTGGATACAGTAAACAGCATACCCTCCTCTCGGACTGAAGCCACCCAAGGCCTAGACTATGTGCCCTCAGCTGGCACAATCTCACCAACATCCTCCTTAGAGGAGGACAAATGCTTTAAATCTCCACCTCCTGAAGACTTCCAGGCATTAGCAGAAGGAGAGAGAAAATTTGAAGCTCATAAGAAGGGCCTGCAAGAAGAGACGGAAGAGGAGGAAGAAGAAGAAGAAGATGAGACTCCAAATATTGAGGTGCCTGAGAAACTCCCAGGGCATTATGGTGCCCAGCTATTTCCTCAGCAAGCACCCCAAGCTGATATTTTAAGCGAATCCCGCACAGAAACATCCATGTTGCTATTATCCACAGAGGAAACCCAGCTTTCCCAAGTAGACTCCAGCTCTGGAGAAGCTGAGGAACGATGCATCAGCCCTGATGACAGCACAATCAAGATGGCATCTCCAACACAATCTGGCCCCACTAGTGCTGGTCACACACCTTTCCATCAGTCCCCTGTGGAGGAGAAATTGGAAACCGTGGAAGCGGAGTTATTTGAAAAAGCCAGAGACATTTCTGTAAAGAAAGGTGAAGGACAAACTCCTAGTGTAGGAAAAGGTGCTGAGAGTGAATTTGAACTACTTCAAAAAGCTGAGGCATCTCCCGCTAAAGTTATCCCAGAAGAAGAATTGCCTTTTGTTATGCAGGAGGAGCATGGCTTAGCTAGCGAAGTGCCGCTGCCTGTTGAGTCCACGTCTCCCAGAAATGAATGGCAGGAGCTACCCGTTGGAGAGGAACAGCTGTCACACATTTCTTATCACAAACAGGAAACTATTGACATTAGTGAAAAGGATGATTCCAAACTGTATATTCCCAGCACAGACATTACTTCAAAGCTAGAAAAGGAAGCGGGTTTCAGAGAAACTGAAATGACTCAAAACATTTCACTAGAATTTGCAAAATATACAGATAAAGAGCCAGTTTCTACCAAAGAAATCTCTCCCCAAAATTCTGACGTTGTACAGGTCCCACAACAAAGCCAACTTGAAACTGATCAATCTTCACAAATTTCCATTAAAGAAATGTCTCCAGATGATTCCAAATCACTTTCTTTTGGAGAGGAAAGTCTTTGTAAAGAAAAATCTTCAGATATTTCCATTAGCGAAACTTCTCCAGAAGAAGGGAAACCACTGTATTTCACAGGATATAGTTTAGAAAAAGAAAAATCTACACACATTTCCATTAAAGACATTTCTCCAGAAGAGAACAAATCAGTTTCTCTCACTGAAGAGAGTTCTGATAAGGAAATATCTCCAGACATTTCCATTAAAGAAATGTCTCTAGAAGACATTCAACCTCTTGCTTTTACAGAAAGGAGCCCTGCTACAGAAACATTTCTAGCCACATCTGCTACTGAATTCTGTCCAGAAGCTGTCACACCCCTGAATTTCATGCAGCACAGCCCAGCTACAAGTGAAAAATCACTGGGAACTTCTGCCAAAGATACCATTCAAGAAAAAACAAAACCCCCTCTTTTCCCAGAACATAGCCCAATTAAAGATATGGTACCCACGGAAATTGCTTCTGCAGAGATCTCTCAAGAAAATGATACAAGATTGTCGTTTTTAACAGAAATGAGCCAGGTTAGAGAAAAAGCTTTTGAAATGTGCTCTCAAGAAACTTTTCCAGATGTAAAGTTCTTACACTTCACAGAATCCAGACGAATTGAGGATAAAGAATCCACAGACATTTGCTCTGAGTTCATGGAAGAGAGACAAACTAAAGAAGAAAAATCTCCAGAAATGGAAGATTTTTATATGAAAAATGGAGATTATGAAAAGAAAGTGTGGTTTCCAGAGGCAGCAGAGGAGAGGACAGGTAAGGAAATCCAACAGAAGTATGAGAAGGAAAGAGAGAACACTTTCTTAGATGAAGTTCAAGAATATGAAAAAAAATCTTCTCTTACCGTAACAGAAGAGGAAACAATTAAATATTCTATGGTATATCAAGGCTATGCCTTGGAAACAGTAGAGAAGAAAACTTCAGATGCTGCCTATGGATATGTCCAGGAAGAAGACACCACTGGGCAGACAGACCATCTTCCTAAGAAGGAAGATTTTCTCTGGCATGGTGAAGATAAGCCCATGTCTCAAGAAAAAGAAGCCGCACATTTCAAAATGGATTCAGCAGAAGCACAAGAGTTTACACTGCAGGAGGACAAAGGACTTTCACTGGAAGGAAAGAAAATGGAAATAGATCCTTCTGATATCGGCTCTTCTGAAAAACCGGAAGTATTTAGAGCATCCCCATCTTCTCAGTGTGTCTGTGTAGAGGAAAAACATGTCAAACCATCGCATGAAGCAACAGAGAGGGAAGAATCATTGTTCACAACTAAACAAGATTACTCCTACTTGGATCACAAGGGGAAAGCAGCCCTGGATCTACGCACCAAAGCTTTAGACCAAGTACTGGTAGCATCTCCACTGCCTGCATCATCTGCTGCTCTAGAAAAGGGGGTAGACACAAGAGCACAAGAACTAGAAAAACCTTGCATGACAAAGCAAAGCAAACCAGCTTTGCAAGCTGAAGTTCCACTGGAGGCCACAGTGGAGATATCAGATGCTGATGCTTTGACCCAGGAGACATCAGACTCTAAGTACATGCTAGACACAAAGCAGAATGCTGACAGCAAATCCACTGTGGTTCAGGGTGGCTCTAGCAGAAGCAAAGAGCCGAGTGTGGCAGCATTTACTCTTTTGTACTCCACAAGCCCAGCAGAACATGGGTATGTAGCGGCTTCCCCACAAGACAGAGATGCAGCAGCAGAGGACGGCACCCACCTTCTGCCAGAGCCAGGTCATCCCAAAGGAAGCAGCAACCTCACAGGCCATTCTGAGGACATGGCTTCTATCAGCCCAGTGGAGTATCATTCCGAGTCTCACACTCAGAGCTCTTCCAGTCCTTCTGAGAAGGAGGCCTATGAATCCAGAGGTGATAGCCAGGCAGAACAGCCAGAGCAGGAACAAAGGGAACCAACGCCCTATCCTGATGAGAGGTCTTTCCAGTATGCTGACATCTATGAGCAGGTAGTTGTGTCTGGAATTGGGCTTCCAAGCCTTATCCTGAGGGAGGTAGACAACCAAGGTCACTCTGATAAGGAAAAGTTGGAGTCTGTGTTTGTGGCCTCAAGGACAGAGACCGTATCTCTGACTCAGAAAGAGCTACTTCACATCTCTGCAAAAGAAGAAGAGTCCTGCCTGTACACCTCTGCTGAGAAGGAGCTGTCATCTCCGACTTCCCCCAGAGATAAAGTGTATTCTTCCTTTGAGTACACAGATGTCCATGAGAGATGTGCACGCCCGTCAGAGCCAGAGAAACAGGGAGTGCCCAGTGACTGGAGGTTCAAGGAGATGCAGGAAGGACTGAATGGTTTGAGCTCCTCAGCTGCCACACCAAAGGCGCCACCCTGCACCCTGTCTGCGCCCTGGCCTGGAAGCAGCGACTGTGCACTGCCAACCCACACCACAGAGGCACTCTGTCAGGAAGAGAAAGCTCCCTGCACTGAGGCCGCTCATCCAGACGAAAACATCATTTCAGCCAGCCAAGAGCAGAGAGCTCAGTCCACAAAGGGGCCTCAGCTCAAAGACTTGTATTACGAGAAAGCAGGACCGGGAGAGGAGAGCACCAGTGACTCAGAGGTAGAAAAAGGTGCCAAGGAGGAATCTGAAAAGGAGACCAAATCGCCCAGCCCTCCCCAGGCACCAGTCCAAGCCCGCGAGGAGGACGCGTACGCCGACATTTCAGCAATGGAGGTGGCCCAGGCATCAGAGCTGCTGCACCAGGTCAAAACCCAAGTGTCTCATTTGTCAGCATCCACTGCCTCCTGCCCTTGGGATCCAAGGCAGCAAGAGGGACTTGGAGCTGAGAAAGATGCAGCAGCAAGTATTGTAGAGGCAGGTGCTGCTGGCTCCAGAGCCCTGACAGATCCACACAGAGATGTCTGGGCTTCAGAAATATCCTGTTCTAGCCAGACTTCTTTGCAGCAGGGAAAAGATGCTGAAAAATCCCCAAAGGAAGCACACTGTCTAGTGATGGGCTATCACCGGGCAGAAGTTGCATCGGAGGGCTACGACAAAGGCATTTGCTTAAAGTCTGCTTCCATATCTGTGAAAGAGGACCATCAAAAGGGTCTGGCACTGCAAAGTGACGTCATGGATTCCTCTTCATCTGGATCTGAATTTTCCTCTCTAGAAAAGCATGAGTCATCCGTTGTGTTTAGACATGAGACATCCCCATCATGCCACTTAGGAGACACTTCTTTTATTTTAAAGTTACCTGATGCTTTGCCCTCAGCCCAGGAGAAGAAAGATGAATACCTGGAGGTTTCTAAAAAAGATGCCAGAATAGATTCATCTTACCCTGGCTTTTCACTCCTGAGTCCCTATAAAGAAGACAAGTTTTTCCCTGGGGCTGTGGAAAGAGAAGTTACATCCCAGAAGTGGGCAGAAGATGCCTCTCTCAGGCTCTCAGAGGATTCCTCATCTGAAGCCACCACCCCTGTGATACACACGACAGCAGAAAGCTTCTATTCCCACATGCTTTCTACATACGCAGGAGCAGAAGCAGAGCCAGATACCAGGAGCCTGTGGGATGTGTCTCCATTGATTCCAGCTGATTCTGTCAAAACATATCCAGCTGAAACTGAAGGATTTGTGTCTGCCGAGGTCCCTGGTTCTGCATTCACAGGTGATGTGGATGAGAACACACTGCCATGCAGAATTGAATGCCAAAGTGCTCTGACCTCGCAACTGTCCTCAGAAAACCAAAAGCAAAGCTGTGCTGCCAGCCCAGAACACCACTCACCTGTCACTGAACCGCGTAGGGTAGTGACATCACTTCCTGATGTACTCACATCATTTCCTCCTCATCGGCAAGAGGCAGCAGCCACAGCCAATGGCCCAACAGAAGTGAGCTCAAGTCTACAAGCTTGCCGAAGCCTGCCGAGTGCAGCAGAGGTGAAAGGTGAGACAGCGTTTCCTGATTCTGACCAGATGGGATCACCACCCTGGGGGGCAGAGGACACAACTAGGCAGAGCCGGCCTTCTTCACTGATGTCCCCTGAGCTTAGCTTCCAGCCCTTTTTCCCAGAGGCACGCAGAGGAGGAAGGACTGAAGACCATGGAGATGCTTCCCATGAGGCAGAGCCATATTTAGGAGCCAGCGCTGACAACAGGCAGAAGTTCTCCTCGTGTGAATATAAGCAGAGGAAGGGGGAGCTGTCGCCATCATTCATCAACCCGAGTCCTCATGAGCTCTCTGAAGACAGTGACCTCTCGCAGGATGATGGTCGCCCTTCAGTGAAGGGGAGGCCGCACCACGCTACTGGCAGCCATGTACAAACCACAGCAGTAGAGGAAACCCCTCCCACATCAGTGAGTGACTCCGGAACCTCCCAGTCTGACTCGGACGTCCCTCCAGAGACAGAGGAGTGTCCATCCATCACAGCCGATGCCGCCATGGATTCAGATGAAGATGCAGATTTCCTCCCAGTGGACAAAGCTGTGGGCACATCACATCATGGCAGCACGAGGTCCAGCCATGATCCACAGCCTGTTCCAATGATAGATCCCCACCCTCATTCCCCTCATCCAGATGTCTGCATGGTAGACCCTGAAATGCTGCTAAACGAGCACAATGGGAGCAGAACTGATAAAATATCCAAAAGGGATCTGAAAGAGAAGAGCAAAGGAGTGAGGAAGCCTTTGAGTAAACCCAAATCATCATCACCTGCCCGGAAACTAGATGGCAAAGGGAAGCGATCTCCCACACCTGGGAAACAGCCGTTGGACAGGTCTCCAAAATCTACCACTGCCAAAAAAGAGCGAGAGGGAGGAGAGAAGCCGTCAAAACCACGCACCCCATCAGTGCAGCCCTCTCACCTGGAAGAGAAGGACGAGTTACCCCGGAGCAGTCACAGCAACCCTGGCAAGGGCCTTGTTAATGGCATCAGAACGAACCCTGGTAAGAAATCTCTCCCCGGGGCACTTGGCAGTGAGTCAGCCTGCGTTTGCAAGTGCGGAGGGATTGTGCTAGGCATGGATTTTACAAAGTTTAGGGAAGTCAGTAGCAGGGAAGCTAAACTTGTGGTAATGTAAACCTTCATGTTTAGACTCTGCTCTGCATGCCCGGAGCTTGGCCCCACCGGGTGGGCAATGGATGGAATGTCCTGGTCTCGGAGGGACTGGCAGAACCCACCGTACTAAGATATTCACGGGGCATCAGACGCCTGCCCGGGATGGCTTTTACCACATTCTCCAGGGCTGAATTTATCAGGACACTAGTCGTACATTTGTGTGCAGAGATGCTGCCTTTCCTCTCAACATTGAAGAGAGACTAAACAGGCGCATCCCTCACCATTAATTCCTGTGATTGCAGAGGGGGCTGAATTGCATAAGACCTTGGTTATCCTGGCGTCTCCTCCCACAGAGGAAGATGCTGGACTGACTGTCTTCTCTTGCCCCAGAAGAAGTACAGTGTTGGGGCAAACTTCCCCAGCCCCTCCTCCCCCAATGCTCCCAGTTTAAGAAGTTGAATGGGAAAGTCAGCCTTCCTAGTCCATGCAGCTCAGAGGCAACCTGTTGTGGTTAGTAGTTGAATTAGGGCAACACCCAAGAGGTCCGTCATGGGCCAGGATCCCAATGCACTAGATGCTGTACAAAGCCAGAACACATTGGTCACCCTGACGTGCAGCAGTCTCAGTACATCAGCGGCACAAGCACTGGGCATGGTGTTGTAGCAATACTGGCCCAGCAGGGTTTTGAGGGGCGCTTGGAGGTAGCTAATGGGGCGGTTTTGTGGATGTTCATGGCTAGTGCCTCCCAAGCATAAGGGCAGCAAGGGAGGAAAATGGCACCGGTGGGTGATGGCAGGGGGCCCCTTTGACCCATTAGAGGCGGGAGTCAGCGTCTTGCTAGCGAATACGTGGTGTTAGGTTGGGGGAGCTAGGGCCTAAAGAGCATGGAAAGGGAAGCTAAGTCGCTTATGTGTGGATCAGTAGGGGGGGCCAGTGAAGGGAATCCAAAGGGGGTGACATGGACAAAGCCACCAGACTAGGGAGAGGTCTCTGCAATGGCCAGCAGACTGGCTGATCTAATCCTAGCCAGCCAGGGCAAGGCCCAGTCATCCCGAGAGAAGAGACCAGCCGGGAGAGCAGGTGCAGGCGGTCTGGGCAGATAAGCAAGGCTGAGTGGGAGATCTGAGAGTCAGGCTAGCTGCCACTGCGAATACCCAGCACTAGGGCAGAGGGGGAAGGGAAGGGCACCAGGCACAGAGCCCTGTGGGGCGCCAAGGTTAAAGCAGGGAGGGGGCCAACACGAGATTGGTGCTCATAATAAAGTTCATGTGGCAGGAGTGGGGTTCTGAGTGTGAGGCTCAGGGGGGCTGGGTGTAGACTCTGAGGTGGGGATTGGGGTGCAAGAAGGGGCACAGGCTCTGGGCTGGAGGGTGGGGCTGGGGGCTTTGGGGTGCAGGTGGAACCTTAAGGCTCAAGGTGGGCCAGGGGGCTGGGGCTCAGGTTGACCTGCACAGCTCCGTGCTGGGGACAGCAAGGAGGGGCCCTTTCCCCAGCGGTGGCAGCTCTGTGCTGGGGCCGGTGGAAGGGAAACCCCCTGTTGTCTCCAGCAGCTTCAGGGCTTGGGGAGAGCTCTCTCTGCCATGGCAGCCCTGAGCCCTGTGTGGCAGGGGAACTCGGCCCCTTTGATCTCTGCAGTGAGCAGCAGGATTTAGCGAGTGCCCAGTCCGGCTGCTGGCAGCCAGAGCTGCAAGGGGAGCAGGGCCAGGGGCTGGGAGCTGGAGAGGCTGGCTGGGGCTGGTTTTCAAAGCGG